TTGATTTGGGGTTTGTTTTGAAATTTCAATTTAGTTTTGTTATATTTCAATTTCACAAAGAAATGTACAGCATTAGCCTAATAAAAGGACACCTTTTCATTTACTGTATAATTTGTCTTCAATCTCATTTTGTAAAAAAAAAATTGTGAGAAAATCGAATCGTGAAATCAAAATCGTGAATCGAATCGAATTGTGAGTTGAATGAATCGTTACATTCCTACATTTCACCATGTGAATGACTACACCAAGCAGGATGGAGTGTGTGCTCTTAAATTTAGCTATGGTGAGGGAAATCATTCTGAAAACTAGAGTTTGGAAATCACAGGTTACTATCCTCAATATATGGTGTGCTTCCTTTAAAAAATAAGCCTGAAAGACTAGAAATCATGTGTCGAAAGGAAGACAAAACCAAATGAAAAGAACTTGAGCAAGAGGTTTCTATAGAATTGTTGCCTCAAAAACCAATGTATACCATTCACATTAAAAATAACACAATATTGCCATTATGTGGAGCAATTTATGTCAGCTTATGTCAGAAAGGTCAAATGTGACAAAAGGGGGGGGTTCCGTTTTTTTTATTTTTCTGGACTGCTTTTTAATGGTTAAATTACATTTTATTAATCAAAAAGCATGTCGAATTAATTAAAATCATGAAACTTAAACAATTTAACATAGAGACCGAAATGACATGCCGTCGTGTAAATAAGATAAATAACATAAGGCTATTTAGTTTGCTTAATAAAAGAGCAAGGTATATACCTGTTCTATAGAAAATGTAACTTTAAATGACTTCTGTTGTGATCTGGCGCTATAGAGAAAATATAATTAAAATTAACTTGACCTTTCAGGGGGGGCGGGGGGTGCCGTTGGGGGGGCGGGCCGCCCCCCTAATATAATGGCAGGGGAAACACTGGAGTTCTTCAGGTACTAACTTTTCACATATCTCTCGAATAAACCTGTTCTTTTCATTTCTGTTCATGGAAGGCATTGTCAGATCTCATAGATCCCCTTTCTAATTAGTTTTCGTGTTTGCCTCAAACTCTGTTATCTGTTGTGCCTTTATTGTTAAGCCTATTTTCTTTGTTATAAAGATTGCAGTGCTGTGGCTGCTACAGTTAAATAAATTGTCAATCCTTTGCCCATATTTTCTTCAAATCTCATTCTGACAGTTTAAAAGCCGAGCGGTGCCTTTGTGCACATCACCTCTTTTAAACCACCTACATCCTTACCTCCTCCTCTTGCCATCAACCTCATTTTGAGCAGATTGGTTTATCTAACTTTCCAGCAAATGCTTGAAATTTAATCCAACTCACATTCTCTGTATAAATGCACACAAGGAAAGATGACAGATTTAAATATGGCCCAGAGCGCTGAACATCCAGTAAAGAAAAGATGGGCTCCCACACATGACCGCTGCACTCCAGCTAGCCTGATTTGTCTGGACTGCGTTAGAAATTCTGCTGTCATCTGACTGCACTTCAACATGGAGAACTGCATGTAACATGAGGGAAACTCAAACAACAACAGACTTGGTGAGAGAACAGAAAAAACGCAACGTATAACATGATGTGGTGTCAAATTTGGTTTGATTTGAGGTTGATCCTGTATATTTCCTGCCCACATAAACTCCAAATGAACCCTCATCGTTAAGAAGACATTATTTAGAGAAAAAAAAAACAGGGAAGAGCAGCAGGAGGGATATAGAGGAAATACAGGAGGTGTCACTTTCAGTAAGAGTCACACAATCAGCAGCAATGAGACTGCTTAATACCTCTCAGTCTGCCATCAGTGACTCACTCTAGCCTCAGTGTCTGCCTGGCACACATGACACACAAATGCCCTTGCTTTTTGGGGAAGGTTGTCTTCCCTCCAACCAATGGTGCAGACCATTCTGATGCACGCAACATGAAAACACCAGCACAATGGCCTTTTCTTCAACTATGGCCATTTTTAACCCTGTGAACTCTTAAAGACACTTTACACACTTACTTATTATTATGTCAAGTCTATATGCATAGATCATACAAGGAGAAGATTTAGATGATCAATTTAACCTTTAAAATGTAATAATTATGGATTTTCATAAACTGAAAGTCTGGGACAAGGATAAATTATTAAAATATGTACATAAGGATTTAGAAGTAGCAAAAAGTAAAGGCATTTTTAAAAAGTTTCAAAAGTAGCCTTCATACAAAATAAAAAATAATCCACTAGGCCATAAAATATATTTTTTAAAAGTGCCTGTAGTTGAAGAAATACCATAACATCATTACAATGATTTACTTTGGTGAAATCTTTGTTATAAGACTAAGTCAATAATATGTGGGTAATGTTATTATATTATTTCATTATTGCAGATTTGTATTGAGTTTAGAGTTTGCATTTTCCAAGCATTTTCTTGCAGATTGAGGAATATAGAATCTAGGTTTGTTATTTTATAACTGAATTTACTTTTATTCAGTATGTGTAATGGGATTAAAATAAGACAAAGCGCTATATTATGGTGATGAGAGAAGTGCAAGTGAGGCAAATAAGAGCACTGCTGCAAAAATGTACTTCTGTCTGATATCTTCATAGGCTATATGTGAAGATATAGCTCATTATGAATGGCTTCTGCACAAATGAACCCAACTTGCATAATATTTTGTTTCCTTAAAGAATTGGGGAACAAACATGAAATAACTTCCTGAAGTTCTTTCTTTCTTTCTTTCGTAACATACTAGGACAAAGATGACATCATTCCACAATAAGTGCTGACATTTTTAAATCAATTTCAAAAAACACATTAATTAATTTTGACTGCAAGCGCAACATCGCAGGTCAAACGTGTTAAACCATCAGCTTCAATTAGAAAGGCAGCCGCTGATCTGAAGCAATATTCTAGTTCACTTGTATCATTTCAAACCAGACCACAAATATACAAACACACAGAATGCCTGATGTAAGCTGACAGCCTTTGAATGACAAGTGCACATACATAGTTCAGAAATCTCAATTTTTACTCTGGATATTGCATCATGTTACATGGAAATAAAGCCAAACAATCAACAATGTCCCACAATGCCATATTTGCACTTCAAAGACAAACTATTCAACAAAACGAAACGAGTCTCTGGTTACCAGAACCGCAGAGGGAAAACATTCAGAGCTAAATCTGACAAGACACAAACATTCAATGGCTTGGTGCTTTCAATGTCTATTTCAGCATTGTCATTCACATCCACACCTCTTTCCCTTCAAAAAAAGCCACTTGTCACTCCATAAAGAATATGTGGCAGGATAAAGCAGTGTATTCAATTCATAAATATCCCTTTAAGAGGGCCACGTCAGTGATTTTTCAGTGAGCTGAAATTGATGTAAAGGTGACATGTGAGTTATGTATGTGGCTATGGCAGGCGTTTTGATATTACTGAGGGAGGCAGGCAGGCTCACTACCCCACCAAAGCGCTCCTCATCCCTCTCTTTACCAGCCTGCACAAGAGGATGTCATTAATTTGAGGGGGAGAGTTTTAAAAAAGAAAGAAAGAAAACCCCCCAAAAAGCTTCCTTTGTCTCCTGCTCTCTGATGACTCCTGTCACTTAATGTGTGAAAGCCATGCGTGTTTCAGTGGGATCAATTGTAATAAAACTGCATCGCCTTCACTGAGCTATGAGTTTATGAATCTCCTTAGAGAAACTCAGTCATTTAAAATCCCTCTAGCTTACGGCAGTGAAACAATGTTTAGTTTCAATCTCCCCGCAGCCTCTGCACGGAGGGAGCCACGCCGCACAACAGACTGAACACGAACAACAAATAAAATGTGAAAATCAAGCAAGTCACCGTCTCATTTCCATTAAATGATAAAGTAGCTGCACTGAAAAGAAATGAACTAATTTAAAATGGCTGGCCTATAGGTCAAGGACAGCTGGAGCAAACAGTCTCTGATTTTTCCTCCCACAGTCATACAAATAAAAACATTTCACATTTTCATTTTCAATACCGAAATCTAAGAGGCTTGTTATCTTTTCTTATTTGTTTGATGCATTGTGTCTGAAATGCCTTCAGGCTGTGATAAACGTACTTAAAACACATTTTCATATGTAGATTATTAGGTGTATGGCTTTGTTAGATAGCAAGGCTTCTATGCAGTGGCACTGAGGGGTCTGAAATAGCATGTCAGCATCTACTGAAAGTCAATAAACAACTGAGCCGAGCTAAATAGCTTGCACTATTCTAATCCAAAAATATTTTCGTTTCCTTGAATTGTTAATATAAGATCACACAGTGCTCTGACCCCTGGGAAAATTTTCAAGGAGTATTTTCAAGGAGTATTGAAAATTTTTAAATTTTACAAATGTCACCAATAAGTAGAAATGAATGAAGACTGAAATGAAGAGTCAGTCTAAGAAAAAAAAACAGAGCATTCATATTCTTCTCTGATTTAGTAATGTAATGACTATGGGCAGGATTCCTTTCATCACACAAATAAATAAATAAATAAATCACCACATCCTGTCTATATTTCCAGGGAATTAAAACATCTGTGAATAAAAGTGATGCTGGAACAGATGGCCAAAAATGATATACATTGGAGTTTTAACTTACAAACTGCTGTGCAATAGACCACCAAAAAAGCAACGGAATATGAGCTAAAATATTGAACGCCAGAACATAAATGTTTTACGAGCAGATCATAAACTATTGCAAATTTATATTTGCATAAATGTAAAAATGAAATCTTTGTATATACAGATAGCTTTATGAACCTGCTGTTTCCTAAAACACTCGATCTATGTCCTTTGCAAGCACAGCACGGAAAATAGGCAACTTCCTCCTGCCACAAAAATAAGGCAATCACACAGTTGCTGTTAATATCTGAACTGACTACAGAATCCCTAGAGAGGTTTCTATTAACACATTGTGTCCGTTTCACTGCTTAAAATAAACGAGGTTTTATCTCTATAAAGTCAGCAGGAGTTAAAAAAAGACAGCAGCAGATGGCGGCGAGAGGTGACCTTACCTCATTGGTGTTCCACCTGTGTCTCTCTTTTGGCAACGTGGAGCATTTTGGTAGACATTCAAGCAGCTTTTTGGGCAGGTATATTTTCAAATGTCCATGTTCATCTGCAAAACAAACAAAAAAAAACAAGCTTGCATTAAAGAATAAAGGTAAGAGGCAGTAAAACATTTGTGTCATTAATCAATACCCATGATGGATTGATGCAATCATGCTAATATATAGGGCTCAGTGTATGAATACAAGAACCAGTATATATGATTTAATAATAGATTATCTTTTGCAGTTCTTCTACATTCTTCATACACAGCACATAACCAGGATCATTAATTAATGGCCGCCGATTATTCTGACTGCAAAGAGCGACTAATGAGCAACTTGCAGAATGAAGGTAAAAAATGTTAGATGAATGAAAATGTGAACTAATTGGCCAAGCATGCTATGAAAAAAAAAGGTAAAAGAAATAGTGACATATTGTGATGAGAATCATAAGACTTCTGGTGTTTCAGTAGTGGAAGTCCACTCTCAAGGGCTTAAGGGGAACTGATGCTAAGCTTTATTAAGACTTTAACTACCCAATAAAGTACACAGCCACCCTGATCCAGACTGCTCGAAAGAACAGTAAAAAGCACAAATGCTGGCTAAAGATAAAAGAAAAAGGGAATACAATTTGTTCAGGGGCAATTAAGGCAGGGCTATATATCAGGCTTTCTTCCATTCTTACCGTCTGTCTCTCGTTCTCATTCCTAAGGGCTTGGCAGGCCAGTCAAATCACTGCCATTTAACTTTCATTGTTAAATGAAAGTTCACTTTCAGGGCAGAATTTCTAAATTACAATGAAATTGTCTACAACTGTAAATTGAGTCCAATTATAATCACCTTGTTACAACCAACTGCTGATTATACATTCGTCTGTCACCTACACCCACATGACATTCACATTCCATTCCACTAAAACCCCTGCAGGAGTAAGGATGAATGGATGAATGGATGAAAGGTGGAAAAAAGCTTTGACCAGCCTGAATAAAGGAATCTGTAAATGGCCTTTTTGGCTAAAATAATTTTACATAATGTGGTATATATATAGACCACTACAATGTGGACAACTGTCTACTGTGAAGCAAATAAATGTGCATAAGACATCTATTTTTAATTTTCTTAAAGTTATGCTAATGCTAATTTTAAAAAACAGGAATATATTCAAAGGGACTCAATTCTATGTTCATGTCTAAGTCATTACTTTATGAGCCCAACCTACATTTCAGCACCAGCACAATGACGGGATGTCTAATCCATAACAAACATCCTAACAGGGAGTCAAAAATATGACATAATATGCCTGAGTCACTGTCAAAAACACCCCCGCCATTTTCCTAAGGCTGTAATTGTGACAAACAATCGTCTATCATTTGCGAATAAGATGCTATACCAAATCATGTAAATGTGGTTATGAGCATGCTTGCAAATCAGTTCGATTTCCTCGGTCTCTAAGCTAATGTGCTTACACGTCACCATGTGTTCTGTCGCCACTCGCGTCACTGATGACAAATCAAGACACATATGCTACAGCCAATTACGCATCTCCAGGTCTGACGGTTTGTGTTACACTGTCGGACGATTATGCAAAATTTAAATAACCCTCATATGAGGGCCTCTTTCTCCACATCAGCGAGAAAGATATATTCTCAAATGACAGTGGCATCAGCTAAACTGGTCCAGTTGTGAATCTTTCATTGTTTCCCAGTTGTCAGACAATCAACTCTGATATTGCAGACATCTGTTTATGTCACAGAATAGGATTTTGTCATCTGTTTGGACCGAAAAATATGGCCTTAAATGACATTATCATGTTACAGATCTCTAATATTCTTTCTTTTTGTCTTCTGCACCCAAAATAATATTTTCATTCAAAAACATCACTTATCATTGTCTACAAAGCCAGAACAGATTTGCTTTACTTGCCATAATTCTCATTATAATCGTACGGTGGTGTGATGGGAAGAGGTTAAATATGAGAGTCATCCCTTAGCTGAGTGAGGGATAACATGCAGTCAGGCAGTCATTATCGCAACGCAAAATCTGACAGGTTGATCAAGCCCCTGACACAAAGTAGAGGTCTCTTGTATCATCCTGAATGGATAATGACCGACTGACTATTTCCCACTCATTACACAGCTACTAGCCGATTAAATAAATATAGAGACATAAAATATTGCTTTGAGAAATGATTTTATTATCTTATAATTGTTAATTGGTGGCAATTAGTTATTCTAATTTGTATATGTAATAGTTTACCCATTATTTTATGACAATCTGATTGCTTAATTTCTATTTTATTGTTTCAATAAATGTAAGCATTCTTAAGAATTTCTTAAAATAGTGTGCTTCAATTTAGAGGGACTGACTTTTAGTTGTCCTTCCTGTCTAGCTATGCCACCTTTGAAAATGTCTTACAGTGACAGTGCTCAACAAAGTCTTACACTTTATTCAAGGAATGTGATTCTCAAGTGTGTGCTTCTTGTTACCTGAACCCTTTTCAATTTGTCTGAGAATCCCACGAAAGCTCAGGCTTCTGTTTGTGAATATAAAACAAAGACCTGTGTCTCAAGAACAAGCTGACCAGAAATCAAAGATGTACACTTCAAATGGCAAACCCCCATGTCCCCAGTGCTTCTTAAAGGCAAAGTCACCCTGCCTGTCCATTCTATTACACCTCTATTTTTAATTTGCTCAGATGTTTGGATGTCTAAAGTTATAAAAGACAATATTGGAGAATATGGACTTAAAGGATGACTGTGAAATCTTTAAAGAATGAGAAAAGGTGGCAGAGAGAGAGGAGAAAAACAGCTCACTGAGAAGTAATCCCAGCCTGGAGCAAGGTCCTAACAAAGAGTTTACAGCTACCTGATAAGGCCGTGAAACAACAGTGTGACTCTCTGTGCTCTTTCGTTTGGGGCATGGAGATAATTCTGGAGATTGGAGTATGTGCTGAATGTGGCATACACTGATGGGAGAGATTGTACAAGGGTAAATGAGTTTTACAGTAGAGAGCTGAGACTGGTATCTGGAATCATTTGACTCACTCAATTAACATTAGCATAGAGCACCTGCTCACGAATGACAACGAGCCACCTTCCCACACACAGAAAAAAACGATTTATCTGTATTGCAACCAGTGTCAAAAGTGAAAGCAAAGGTAAAATCAAAAACATAATGGCCCAATCATTTTAAAATAAAGCCGTAGGCATTTAAACTGGCAAATGGCTATTCTGTAAAATACAAAAATGTGAATTTATTCATGAAGAACAGTTTAAAGTCAACAAGAAATGGCATTCACTACCCATTTTATGTATGCAATTAGGGGTGTGCGATATGACGATTTTTGATCGTGGACGATAAAAATGTCTCCAAGTCTCTGCTTTTGAAGAAATATCGTAGTATCGTGCTACAGCGCACATTCTATCAGCTGCAGTTCTGGCGCCTCTGTCTCAATATACTGTACAACGCAACATTCATTCAGTGTTAGCGGTAGAGTTACACTCACAGGACACTGCACTTATGCGCAGTCACAAAAGTACATTATTTGCATATTTGTTTTAAAACCTTGCCAGTTAAATTATCATTCATGTGCTGTTCTGACGTGCGCTTTTTCTGAGCGCAAAAAATGCCTGTCAAACAGTGCCTGATTTCTGGACTAAGTTATCCTTTGCGCTAATACTGTCAAAACACACAAGGTTTACATATAGGCTCAGTTGGTTATGTCTAAAATGAAAGTAAACAGTTGAGAGAAAACGGATGCGTGCCTGTATATTAGATGTGTGCAGGTCTTAAAGGGACAGTACTAGGGATGCGCCGATCCGATATTCATATCGGGTATCGGCTCCGATAGTGCCATTTTTCTCGGATCGGGTATCGGTCAGAGAGGGCCGATCCAAATCCGAAATTTTTATTTTTTTTTCCCCCGATTGTGCGAATTATACTGTTACTTCTGAAGCCATACGATAGCTTAATGTGAGCTACATATGAATATTTAAGTCCTTACATTAAAGTTCACACAAACTCTTTTCTCCGCTGTGGCTGTCAGTCATTCGTTCAGCCTTTAAACCCTGGTCGCGTTCGGTTACAGCAGTCAGCTCGGTAAAGCTCTCTCCAAGATCATTCTGTGTTCCCATTATACTTGATTTGTAAATACATGTCTATGATTTTGCAAAAAGGGCTTTATCTTCTTGCCGGAGTTTAATGTTGTTTTGTTACTTGATACCGGGTGTCTGTGAGAACAAAACACGGGCGTAGAAAAGTCTATAAATTGTTTTTAACGTGCACAGTAACTGAAATTTAAAACTGTTAAAAGAAAGGCTCAATAACTGTTGCACAGATATAATACACTACGCATCAATTTCTCTTCCCTTTGTGCTTTGCAGTTTTTAACACGAAGCGCTTACAATGTGCGTTTTCGGTGTGCAGAATGATGCGCTTGAAGCAACACGACGTCAGGCTGTGAATCGGATCGGTATCGGCCAATACCGAACCCTAGGTATCGGAATCGGTATCGGAGGCGAAAAAGGCGGATCGGAGCATCCCTAGACAGTACTAAACATGCTGCCGACTGTCATTAAAGGGATAGTTCATCCTAAAATTTGATTTCTGTCATTATTTACTCACTCACATGCTGTCCCAAACCTATATTAATTTCTTTCTTGTGCTGAACACAAAAGAAGATATTTTGAAGAATATGGGTAAACCAAACAGTTGCTGGTCCACATTGAATTTAATAGTAGGAAAAAATACTACGGAAGTCGCTGTGGACCAGCAACTGTTTGGGTTTTCCACGTTCTTCAAAATAACTTTTATGTTCAGCAGAAGAAAGAAACTCATTCAGGTTCAAAACACCTTTTGAGTGAGTAAATGATGGTATAAAAATAAAACACTATGACAGAATTGACAGACAGATGAGAGATTTTTTTTTGTGAACTATTCCTTTAATGTTAATAAAACAAGAAAACACAAAGAGAAAAATCACTCAATACTCTTGACTGAAAAACTTTAATACAGTTGCTTTAAGAGGAATCAATCAATATACAGTAGTGTTTTATTTTTATATTTGTTC